AGGAGGAAAGACGATCCACTAGAAGAAAGACAGTCTCTTCAATAAATGGTGCTGGGAAAATTGGACATCCACATGCAGAAGAATGAAACTGGACCACTCTCTTGCACCATACACAAAGATAAACTCAAAATAGATGAAAGATCTAAATGTGAGACAAGATTCCATCAAAATCCCAGAGGAGAACTCAGGCAACACCCTTTTTGAACTTGGCCACAGTAACCGGAGAAGGACAAACGGTGTATGTTCTCATTCATTTGGGGAATATGAATAATAGCGAAAGGGAATATAAGGGAAGGGAGAAGAAATGTGTGAGAAATATCAGAAAGGGAGACAGAACATAAAGACTTCTAACTCTGGGAAATGAACTAGGGGTGGCGGAGGGGGAGGAGGGTGGGGGGTGGGGGTGAATGGGTGACGGGCACTGGGGGGTACACTTGACGGGATGAGCACTGGGTGTTATTCTGTATGTTGGTAAATTGAACACCAATAAAAATTAATTTATAAAAAAAAAAAAAAATAAATAAATAAAAGAGAAAATAAAAAAAAAAAAAAAAAAAAAAGCTGCAATTTATTGGCTAAGTGAAGAGGCCGCAAGGGCAAATGACATTCTATCCTCCACCCAACCCTATTGTCTTTAAGTTGTCCTTGCTATTGTCATTGAGCAAATGCGTAAGCATTTGTGATAATAGCAGGGTTTAGGGTAGGTGTAAGGGAGGTAAGGATCAAAGCCTGTAACCTCTTAAGAGCTTACCGTTTGGTTGGTGAACCAGGCCAACCAGTTACCAAACCAGGCCAGGTAATGATAACACCAGGAGCTGTATTATATGCACCCATTAGTAAATATTTACTGTGTCTAGTATGTTCCAGCCACTAGGGAATAGTAGCAAACTAATATATAATCTATATATATAATTTGTGCAGCCGTGCAAAATGAAAATGCAGGAGCTCTCCTTTACAAAAAATGTAAAAGGCTTTTTCCTTTTTTCTGTGACCTCTTGACCTGTGGTAGTGGTCTACCTAGCTAATGTCACACTCTCTTGGGCATAGGGATACTTGATAGGTAAGTACAAACACCCTCATGGGCACCTAGGGCCCCACACTGTGACTCAGACTCAACTCCCACTCTTCCGGGCTTGTACCCAGGCCCCCTGCCAGGAGTATAGGGCGGCAGGGGTTGCCGGCTGGGGCTGAGGAAGCTGGCAGCTAAAAACTCACCCCAGAGGAAGACAGAGGGGTGGTGTTGGGGCCTGACCACTGATAGAGCCCAGGCTTGCTAAAAGAGGGCAAGAGAGCATGAGTGGTCTAGGGAAGAACAAATAGTTGGATGTCATGAGACCAGAGAATGCTCAAGAAGAACTGAGAGATGAGACAGGGTTACAAAAAGGAACTTACTCTCCCAGATGAAAAGATGAGAAGAGCATCAGTAACTGCTACGGAGCAAATTAAGGTAAGAACCATAAGAGAAGTTTTGGGACGCCTGGGTGGCTTAGGGCATGATCCCGGGGTCCTGGGATAGAGTCCCTCATTGGGCTCCCTGCAGGGAGCCTGCTCTCCCTCTGCCCATGTCTCTGCCTCTCTCTCTGTCTGATGAATAAATAAATAAAAATATTTTTAAAAAGAACCATAAGAGAACTTTTAATAAAAGCACAGTGGAAGTTCCAACTTACCACATGACTAATGGGGACGATCCTGTTTTATGCTTGTTTTCCCCACATAATTATAAATAGCAGCCCTTTTAATCCAGCTTGGATAATAAATTATTTTTTAAGATTTTATTTATTCATGAGAGACAGAAAGAGGCAGGCTCCCAGCAAAGAGCCTGATGTGGGACTCGATCCCAGGACCCAGGGATCAACCTGAACCAAAGGCAGATGCTCAACCCCTGAACCATCTAGGTATCCCTGGATAACAAATTCTATACTTACTCTACACCAGTGTTTCTCAACCTTTTTCCCATTATCATCCCCCCAAGGAGCTCTTGTAGACATTTTTTCCTAATCCCCCACTCCATGGAATTGTAATATCAGAGATATACCATGTATCTGTTTATGTACTATAGCCCTTTGCAGGGCCACAAACCATCTGAAATTTTTTTTTTCATTCTCCAGAAACCAGTTTTGGTATTCTCTTCGTTGAGACCGCTCCTCTGTACAAATGACACAATAGCACTGTTATTTCTAACTCAAGGATGTGGTATGACTTAAAAGGTGTTAATGTTGACTATTTCTTGTTTAAAATTTTCTCCTCTCTTGGTTTTTTCATTTCCCCCGTTTTCCTACCTCATAGAATTTTTCCTTGTCTCTTTTCTTTTTTTAAAAAAAGATTTTATTTATTTATTTATGAGAGACACAGGCAGAGGGAGAAGCAGGCACCATACAGGGAGCCTGATATGGGACTCGATCCCGGGTCCCCAGGATCACGCCCTGGGCCGAAGGCAGGCACTAAACCACTGATCCTGCAAGGGATCCCCTCCTTGTCTCTTTTCTTTTTTTTTTTTTTTTTTAAGATTTTATTTACTTATTCATGAGAGAGAGAGAGAAAGAGACATACACAGAGGGAGATGCAGGCTCCATGCAGGGATCCCGATGCGGTACTCAATCCCAGGACCCCAGGATCCCAGGATCATGCCCTGAGCCAAAGCAGACACTCAACCACTGAGCCACCCAGGCGCCCCTCCTTGTCTCTTTTCAAATGATTTTCTTTTCTTCCTTCCTCAGGAAGTTTCTTCTAGAGGTCAAACTTTTCAGAATTTCAAGGAAGGACCACGGGAAGGTTCTTTTCAGGTGGGGGTGCATTTCCTGAGAAATCAAGGGGATTGAAGGCAGTAGAATGTGTCTCTTCTGGTTGGTGGTGTAATTCTGAGGTTTGGTATTCCAGAACTGTGGTCCACATTCAAGAATCTCCGAGAAATGTAACTACAGTTCAGTGATGTTTAGTACACAGCTCCAGCTCCAGTGGGTAACCCTCTCTATGTGAACTCATCTTTTCCAAGAGAAGACCCAAGTGTCCAAAGCCATATTGGACACCTCAAAGGCAAGTGGCTTGCTTTATGTTCATCCTGTATACTCTGTTTTTGGGATGAGCGCCTAGCCTTGGTGGAGTCAGCCATGGCCCAAATGGCAGAGAGTTCATTTGATGGAAATGGCAAGAACCATGATTCTGTGCAGAAAGAATGCTGGGGGGTTAAAGATGGAGAGTGGCCAAGGGCCTGGAAGGCAACTAGAGATTCACAGTATCCTCTCCAACTGGAGTTGTGTCCTCAGATCTCATCTTGTTCTCTCCTCTTACAAACTCTTACATCCTCTTGGGCAAAGAAAGAGTTTGTAAAAATTTTTAAATGCCCAAACTGAGAAGTGCACACATGTTTAGTGGCTTTTCCTTCTTTCCCATCTCACCCTTGCTGCTTCCTCACTCCCAAATAAATTACCAGCACATCTTTTTCTCAGGCTTCATTTTGAGGAAAACTCAGGCCGGGGATTCTGAGTTTCCAGGCTCCTAGTCTAGAATGTTGTGGGTAACACGTGGTTATGTCTCTTTGGCCCTGCAGATTCTTTGCTTATGGGGAGGGATGTGGCCCGGGCAGGGGCAACAGGGCCCTAGAGCAGGATCTAGGGGAAGGGTGGGTTGCTCAGATGGAAGATTAGTTCTGATGAAAACATAATTCCTTATGGGTGTGGCCTGGCCCATCTTCACACACACTGCAGGCAGCAGATAAAAAGAATAAACAATGCATAGGGTTTTGTAAAAACAAATTTGTACATTAAACATCATTTTGGGGTACCAAAATGCTAGGTGGTAGAAATGAGATCCAAATTCATGAGTACTTCTCAGATGCTGCACATGTTTATTTATCATACTTAAAAACCTATATACTACATCTGCCTGCTTCATCATGTTGCAAAACTTGGAGTGTCTCAAGACATCTGTTAAAAGATAAAACCGAAGCATATTAAAAATTTGAGTTTTAGCAAAATCAATTTTTTAAATAAAGATTTTATTTATCCATGAGAGACACAGAGGCAGAGACACAGGCAGAGGGAGAAACAGGCTCCTTGCGGGGAGCCCGGGATCACGCCCTAGGCCGAAGGCAGGCGCTCCACCACTGAGCCACCCTGGCGTCCCTTAAGATCTTACTTATTTACTCATGAGAGACACAGAGAGAGGTAGAGACTGAAGGAGAAGCAGGATCGCGCCCTAGGCGCCGCCCCCCGCCCCCCCCCAACTCAACCGCGAACTGCCTAGGCCTCTGCCTCCGAGCTACATCTAGGCCAGGTTTTTGCAGCGCGAAGAAAGGGCGGGCTAAAGTGAGAGAGAGCTCAAGAGTTTCTTTTAAAAATAGATGATAAGGGATCCCTGGGTGGGTCAGCGGTTTAGCATCTGCCTTTGGCCCAGGGCATGATCCTGGGGATCGAGTCCTGCATTGGGCTCCCGGCATGGAGCCTGCTTCTCCCTCTCTCTCTCTCTCTCTTCTCTCTGTGTTTCTCATAAATAAATAAATCTTAAAAAAACAAAAAAGATTATTGATAGATAGATAGATAGATAGATAGATAGATAGATGATAGAGAAAAAGGCGTCCCATGGGGATCCCTGGATGGCTCAGCCGTTAAGCATCTGCCTTCGGCCCAGGACATAGTCCTGGAGACCTGGGATCGAATCCCGCATCAGGCTCTCTGCATGGAGCCTGCTTGTGTCTCTGCCTGTGTCTCTCTGTCTCTCATGAATAAATAAATAAAATCTTTAATAAAAAAAGGAGTCCCATTGCACGCCAGGGGCGAAGAGGAGGAAGCAGCAGAACCCCAGGCCCCAGGCCTCCGCGCTTCCCGCAGGCCCCGCCCCTCCCGCCGACCTCCCCGCTCGGCCGCCAGGGGTCGCCGCGCGCCGCCCAGGCAGAGGCCGCCGCCGCCCCGCCCCCGCCGCCGCCGCCGCCCCCCCGCCCCCCCGCCCCGCGGCGCTGTAGGCGCCAAAGTCAAACCCGCCCGCCCGCCCCGCCCCGCCCCGCCCCGCGCGCAGGCCCGGCCGCCCGAGGACCCGCCGCCCGCGCCATGGTAAGCGCTGAGGCCCGCTCCGGGACCTGCTCCGGGACCCGCTCCGGCTCCGCTCCCGCGCGGCGTCCCCGGCGGCGGGCGCCCTCGGCCGCGTGGGGCCCCGGCGGGCTCCGGGGGCCTGGCTCCCGGGGAGGCCCCCCGACCCCCCCCCCCGCCCCCCGCGGCCTAGGGCGCAGCCGAGCCCCCTCGGGGCCGAGCCGCGTGTGCCCCGCGTGTGCCCCGCGCGCGGCCGCCCGGAGACCCGGGACGCGAGTGAGCGGCCGCCCGGGGCCCGGGAGAGACCGGGACCCCGCGAACCCGCGGGGCCCGCCTGTGAATGGCTCCGAGCCCTGCACGCCGGGGGGGCGGGGGCCGCTGAGGGCCGCTGAGGGCCGCGCCGCCGCGTGACCTGCCCCGACCTCCCTCCGGGCCGCGCCGCGCCGCGCTCCAGGCCACCCCGTGCCCCTGCGAACTTGACGTCCTCCAGCTCCTCAGATCATTTTCAGGAACCTTCAGTTTCGGGTCTTTTTTTTTTTTTTTTTTTTCCCCTGCTTCTGTTGGCAGAGGATCAACACCTAATTAAATGGATCAAAGGTTTTAATATCTTAATTTAGTGAAGTGGCCGTTATTTTGCTGGCCAAGGACCGAGGTTGCACGGTGACTTCTTTGAAGATTCGTGTCCAGATGCGCTCACAACTGATAACGGCTGCTTTGTGGTTGAGCTAACAACACGGCCACCTGGGCGCGGCGCCGGCTCGGAAACCCCACCGGGACGCGCCGAGATGCGGGGCCGGGGCCGGGCCGGGGCCGGGCCGGGGCGCGTGCTCGCGCTTCTCTTTTTAAGCTATTTCTTTTTTTTTTTTTTTAATTTTTATTTATCTATGATAGTCACAGAGAGAGAGAGAGAGAGAGAGAGAGAGGCAGGGACGCAGGCAGAGGGAGAAGCAGGCTCCATGCACCGGGAGCCCGACGTGGGATTCGATCCCGGGTCTCCAGGATCGCGCCCCGGGCCAAAGGCAGGCGCCAAACCGCTGCGCCACCCAGGGATCCCCGTGCTCGCGCTTCTCACAGTTCCCGGCCTGATGCGGCGGCTCCGCAGAGCCACGGCACCACCGCCCGCTTTTGCCCTTGCACCCCCCCCTCTCCGTACGAATCCTCTTCTAATACCAAATGGCAATTTGCTGCTAACGCTTGCAGGCGCTCAGCCTCTGACCATCAAACAAGTCAGAATAAAACTCTTGAGATCCAGCCTATTTAATGGATGCTCAGGAAGTGAGTTTAGTGTTACGTTGATCAAAAACAGATTTTTGTTCTCTTCCCCCCCCCCTTTTTTTTTTTAAAGATTTTATTTATTTATTCATGAGAGACACAGGCAGAGGGAGAAGCAGGCCCCATGCAGGGAGACCCACGTGGGAATCGACCCTGGGTCTCCAGGCTCAGGCCCTGGGCTGAAGGCGGCACCGCTGAGCCTCCGGGCCTGCCCTGTTCTCTTTCCTGATTGTGAATCGATAGTTGTTTGTTTTGATTCGATCAGGCTTGGTGAATAAAGTCGCAAATCCAGGCATATTTTTGGAATTGGAGGAACTGCAGTGTACCCCTGCCACTTCTGGGGGCAACGGGTATCATCTACTTTTAATTTTTCAAAATGTTCTTATAATTGCTAAACAGGACTGCTTTTAGGAATTTTGTAACTCCTAATTATTCGGGGAACGTTCCTTAGATGGATAGTTTCTTAAGTGACTTCGAATACAGGTTTCCCCTAGTCTTTGAAGGTAGTGTTTCTGTGAAGTCTTCTGTAATCTGAAATGGCATAAGGTGAAGAAACAGTTATTAATTTATATGGGAAAAAAATTTTGAGCATTCCTAGACCCCCAAAATAACGTCTCATAAGCTGCTTTTTTTTTTTTTTTCAATTAAAACATTTTTTTCTCCTCAGGCTTCTCAGATACCTTAGGACACATCTTGCTAACAGATGCACGAAGTAAATTAAGATCCAGCACAGATGCTTACCAACACAGTTCAAAGCTATGGTGGCTTATGCTTGAGATGCTGGATATGGTTTCCAGGGAAGGACTGTGGCACAGCCATTCCTAAAACAAACACTGGGCGCTATTTTTGCTTTTTGCCTTTTTTCATGCAAGTGAAAATGCTCTTAGGATTTCTTCTGATTAATGAAAACAGGTACTGTTGTGTAGTCCTTGTGAAAAGTGGGGACAGCTGTATGTTGGTCAGCAGGGAAGCTTGGTTGTCCTCAGGTCTCGACTCTCCTTACGAATTTGAATGCATCTCTGACTTATGTGGTCAGCAGATTTTCTTTGATATTAAGTATTAAATGAGCCCTTGTTGATTTTTTGGAGAAATTCCTAAATATGAATTAGCGTGGCATAGTTTTACATTAGTTATTTTAATTCTGGCTGCGATACTGTCCTCCTGTGGTTAATAACGAAAACTATTTCTAGTCATGAAAGAGACCGATGAATAAATTGGCCTGAAAACAATGTAAAGGGATGATCCAGCTCATCCATATTTCTTGAGTGACTTTCATAGCTGCTGAACTGAGTGATAAGGGCTTTCCTAAAACTGTGTGCCTCCAGGATACTAGGCTCTCCTCATTGTTTCTGGATGGCAGATTCTTAGGGAGTCCATGAATCTTTCCAAGGAGCTGTTTTATAATACCAAAACATTAGGAACCTTTCCTAAAGCTTTGAATCTTCTTTCCACTGACAAGGCTACAGACTGAAGTCCTAAAGGGATCTCAGTGCCCCTGACCCACCTCTAGATTCTGGGGTGAGAAGAGGAGTGTTCTCAATCCTGGGGCTGGTTAAAGCACCTTAAGAGGCTTTTAAAAACATGCCTGCCTAGGCCTAGGCCCAGGTCTGGTCTCAGAGACCCTGATAGAGTTCAGATGGCATACGCCTTGGCATCAGTATTTTTAAAAAAATCCTGAGATGATTTTTTTTTCTTTCTTTCTTTCTGAGATGATTCTAATAGCAGTTTGAAACCCACTGGACTAGAGAAATGAGCCAAAAGAGCCTTCTTAACTAGGTGTGAATTTCATGCTTGGTTTATTCTCATACTGCTGAGGCCAGTGTGAAGGGAGGCTAATTAAAGCAGTATTGAATGCTGGCTCTCGACTCCGGGTTTAGTGAGTAGGTCTATATGGTTTCTCGGACTGAGATTTGTGTGCTTTCTCTCAGAAAGTCAGTAAATGGTTATCACAGAATTATTTTATTTTTAATTTACCCTGTGTCATATTTGTGGGAGTGCAGTGGGTGTTGTGGGGTTTGGGAACCTAAACAGTCTCACATTTTAGGCTTGGGGCTTTAGAGACATGGCCTTGGAGTCAAGGGCTGGCCTTTGGTCTGCTGTAACCCAGCACCAAGCTCTTGGAAGGCCAGCACAGTGCACGTTCTGAAGTTTTCAGCCAGCTAAGAAAGACAAGTATATGAATTGATTTAATGAAGGTGTGTTCTAGGAACACATGGTATGACGCTCAGGCTGTCCTGTGAGCTCAGGGAAGCTCTTTTACAGAATGTTTACACTAGGCCTTAGGAGACTTTAGAAGTTTGAATTTGCAAGAGGAGCAGGTGTTTTAGATAGAATAGTTTTTATTTATTTATTTATTTATTTATTTATTTATTTATTTATTTATTTTAAAGATTTTATTTATTTATTCATAGAGATGCAGAGAGAGAGAGAGAGAGAGAGAGAGGCAGAAACACAGGCAGAGGGAGAAGCAGGCTCCATGAAGAGAGCCTGCCATGGGACTCTATCCAGGGTCTCCAGATCACGCCCTGGGCTGCAGGCGGCGCTAAACCGCTGCGCCAACCGGGGCTGCCCAGATAGAATAGTTTTTTAAAGACACAAATGGGAAAGAGCATGCTGGGAGTGGAGAATTACAAGTACAGATCTTCTTCTTACAATAGAGTTACACTGTGATAAACCCATTGTGAGTTGAAAATATCATTAAGTCAAAAATGCATTTAAAACACCTAACCTACAGAATCATAGCTTAGCCTAGCCAACTTTAAACATGATCAGAACACTTAGACATTAGCCTGTAGCTGGGCGAAAGCATCTAAGACAAAGCCTGCTTTATAATAAAGTATTGGATATCTCCTGTAACCTACTGAGGACGGTACTGAAGGCAAGTAACAGAATGGAGGTGTAGGTACAAGATGGTTGTAACTATCGATTGTTTACTTTATGGTTCCTTGGCAATTGACCATTGCTAGCCTGGGGAAAAGATTCAAATTCAAAATTCTAAGTATGGTTTCTACTGATTGTGTATCACCTTCGCGCCATCATAAAGTTGAAAAAGTCGAACAATAGTCAGGGACTGTCTAGTTTTTGTATTATAGCTCAAGTTAACTCTCCGAATTATGCTAAAATTTGAGGTGGGGAGTGGTATTTGTGAGAGGTAGATTGGGGTCAGGTGATTAAGGGCCTCGTCTATCACTGGAGCGATTGGCTACTTCTAGATGGTTTGGAGCCACTGAAGGCTTTAAGCAAAGGAGAGGCATGGGTAGATTTGCTTCTTGGCCATGTGGAATGTGAACTTAGAGGTGAGACCAAGTGTGGCCAGAGGGCTTGCAGGTATGTTGCAGGAAACAGAACACATAATGAAGGCCTGAACTGAGGTAGGGTTTGTAGGGATGGAGCAGACAGGGTGGATTTGAGAAAGTTAAGCACTAAAATTGGCAAAACTTGGTGATTGCTCTAGTGTGGAGTAAGAGGGGTGAAGGAACATGGGATGACTGCCAGGCCTCTGGCGTGGCTAAAAAGATGGTATCTGAGCTCCAGATCTAGAACAGCAGGTTTGGGGAGTAGATGTAGGAGAAGAAGAGTTCAGTTTTAACCCTCTGAGTTTGAAGTCTGTCCAGCAGGCAGGTAGATGCATGAAATTGAAGCTCAGGATCATTCTTCAGAGGCTGATGTAAAGATTTGAGGATTCAGCGTAAATGTTAAAACCATAAAAGCAGAAGAGATCAAAGAAAAGGTGTGAGGAGATGAGGGGATCAATAAAGAACCCTGCGGGAGCTTCAGTGTTTGCAAGCAGAGAGAGGAAAAAGAGAAATATCCATATTTTACCAGAACAACTCATCAAGGAACCATCTGATAATTTTATTGCTGTGAAAATGAGTGAGTGGGTTTCTAGGCTGTGCAAATAGAATAAAGACTCGTGCACTCTGGTGTGTGTATTCAGAATGGCAATGTCAAATCCCTTTCCCCATCTATTGAAGGCTTTCATTTTCCAGGGGAGTATTGGTTGAACAGGCTCAGTGTTTTTTTTCTGTGTCTCCTTTTTTATGTGGTACAAAGTGTTTCAAAGTTATTACTAAGCAGCTTATGTTGTCTCATAACCCTGTGTGACTTTTGAGCACGTCACTTAAAAATATTAGTGTAGAATTCTCTTATTAGAGATGATAGTTCTCTCTTTTGTTATTTTCTGTGAATCTTCAGGTTGAGGGAATTTGGCCTTTTTAAAAAAAAGTTGGGGGATCCCTGGGTGGCGCAGCGGTTTGGCGCCTGCCTTTGGCCCAGGGCGCGATCCTGGAGACCCAGGATCGAATCCCACATCGGGCTCCCGGTGCATGGAGCCTGCTTCTCCCTCTGCCTGTGTCTCTGCCTCTCTCTCTCTCTCTCTGTGACTTTCATAAATAAATTTAAAAAAAAAAATTTAAAAAAAAAAAAAAAAGTTGGATTTTAGCTTTATGTATTCTAAATACAATATAGTGTAAAATTTATAATCAACAGAGATTGTAGTTATATATTAATTATTATAATTTTTAATTGGCTAAACTGTAGTTATAGAATAATAGTTACCTGCAGTAGGCCTCTGTTTTCGACTTGGATAGGTTTTTCCTTCCTCCAACCTACCCTGCAAAATGCTACTAAATGTCGTCTTACTAAAACAACTAATCTTGTCACTCTCCTGTTTTAGAAATTACTCAGTAGCTTCTCATTGTCTAGAATAACATACATTCTCTTGGGCTGGACAATCAGCCTCCTGTGATCTGGCTCCAGATGACCTTTCTCACCTTACATGCCCCTCCCTCTACATGTACCACACAGTAATCATCCCTGAATGCTTGTTTTTCTGGAGCATTCCGTGTACTTTCATAACATCGTGCCTGTGCGTTCTAAGGACACTTTGTCACCATTTCTCAACTTGCCAAAATCCTTTTCATCTCTACCCTTCCTAGATAGCCCTCAACCTTCCCTGTGGTGGAATTCATTCTGTCCTTGGTAGCAATTTGTGCAATGACCTCTTCATCATTTATTAGTGGTGTCTGTTTTCTCTGAGAGGTTGTAAGTCTCTTGAAGGTAAATATAGTGACTTATCATTGGATCATTTCATAAATACTGAATTTCTATTAACTGCCAGGCTCTGTCTCAACCACAGTTCTTATTAATACACTGGTAGCACCAGCCACAAGGCTTGGCATATAGTAGTTAAAATGAGTCTTTAGCTCTGGCTCTGAGAGTTATCAAACCCATTGGCAGACAAGACCATAACATTTCAGATGATGTTTCAGACCAAGTTGTTTTAAAATGCAAGGTCTTTTTTTTAACACACAGTGTTTACTTTTTTACTTTTGTGCTGTAGTCAAAGAAAAAAGGACTGAGTGCAGAGGAGAAGAGAGCCCGTATGATGGAAATATTTTTTGAGACGGTGAGTTGTTTTCTCTAAGATTTTATATAGTATTTTATGTCATTTTCTCCTTAAGTGTATGTCATTCAGTGTTTGTACTTTTTTCATTAGATATCAATGCCCATTAATTTCTTGAAGAATAGATAAAATTCTGCAAACATTTTTTGTTTCTGTGAAGCTGTGGAGTAAGAAAGAACCCTACCCCAATGTTCACTTCTGTCCAGAATGATCTTTCTGAAGCATATATTTGATTGCGTCCTCTTTCTTTTTTTTTTTTTTTTAATTTATTTATGATAGTCACACAGAGAGAGAGAGAGAGGCAGAGACACAGGCAGAGGGAGAAGCAGGCTCCATGCCCCGGGAGCCCCACGTGGGACTCGATCCCGGGTGTCCAGGATCGCGCTAAATCGCTGCGCCACCCAGGGTTCCCGATTGCGTCCTCTTTCTACCTGGAAATAATAATGCTAATAGTTAACATCTACTGAGTGCTTCCTAGGTGCCAGCATTGTTCTGATCACTTGGTGTAGGTTATCTGCTATTTTTTGTTTTTGTGGTATTTTTTTTTTAAGATTTTATTTATTTATTCATGAGATACATAGAGAGAGAGGCAGAGGGAGAAGCAGGCTCCATGCAGGGAGCCTGATGTGGGACTGGATCCCGGGACCCTGGGATCAGGCCCTGAGCCAAAGGCAGATATTCAACCGCTGAGCCACCCAGGCATCCCAGTGTAGGTTATCTGATTCCATCCTTTTTTTTTTTTTTTAAGATTTTATTTACTTATTCATGAACGACCCAGAGAGAGAGAGAGAGAGAGAGAGAGGCAGAGACACAGACAGAGGGAGAAGCAGGCTCCATGCATAGAGCCCGACGTGGGACTTGATCCTGGGTCTCCAGGATCACACCCTGGGCTGCAGGCGGCACCAAACCGCTGTGCCACTGGGGCTGCCCTGATTCCATCCTTTTAACTGTATGAGATCAATACTGTTATGATCGTCATTCTACAGATGAGGACATCTGATACACAGCTTAATATACCAGCTCTAGATATCAAAAATAAAAGCAGTTGTACTAGCATTCAAATCCAGGGAAGATCGTCTGATTTTAGAGAGTGCTGAATACTGCCTCTTTACATTTATAAATCTGTCTGTGGTCTAACACTATATCATAGTACATAGGCCACCTTAATTTATTCCAGATATTTGTGCCTGCCACCAATAGGAAATATGTTTGAAGTTTTAGGTCCTAACTGATGGAACCAGGATTCAAACCCAACCACCAGGCTCTAAAGGCTATTTTGCTTACCATGTTGCTATACGGTAGCTTTTTTTTTTTTTCTTCCATGTTTAAGTCCAAATCTTAGGCCTACAAAAAACACTAACTTCCTGTGTCTTAGCCTAAAACTTGACAGGACCTTCAAAGTCTAGTCTGGCCCCAACCTACTAGCTACTTTGGTTGTATACAAATGTGAAGAAGTTGGGAGAAAATGGCAAAATAGATATGAAATTAATAAGATAGTTAATGATAATACTTGACATTTTCATTTTGATAATGCAGATTCTCAGTAAAACAAGCAAAACATTCTGGGGAACCTTTGTTTTAAAAACTGCCCTCTAAGTTTAATCTTACTGATGTTATCTGCCTGTAATGACTTACCAAAAGTCATTGGCAATTCAAAACAGAGTATTATTTTAATAATGGTGATTAGGAAGGGACACCTGGGTGGCTCAGCTGGTTAAGTGTCTGACTCTTGATTTCAGGTCAGGTCATGATGTCAGGGTTGTGAGATTGAGCCCCAAGTTGGGCTCCACACTCAGCTCAGAGTCTACTTGCAAGCTAGCTTCTCTCTCTGCCTCTGCCCCTCTCCCTGCTCTAGCACTCTTTCTCATAAATAAATAAATAAATAAATAAATAAATAAATAAATAAATAAATAAATAAAATCTTTTAAAAAGAATGATGATGATTAGGAAGATAAATTGATAAAGTTTATATATGGGGATTATGACTCTTCTACTGAGTTTAAATATTTTTCCTGTGGTCTCAGCAAGAAAAGTAGATTTAATTCTTACTAGGCAGTGGAAAGCTGAGGTGAGTGGTGGGGGAAATGATTTTGTCATTTATAATATTGTTAATTTTCTCAAGTATCAAAATTGGCTGTTTCAGATTGAAAATTTTTCAACCCTGCTATCAATGAATAACATCATATTGATGAGTGGTAATAGCTTCCAGAAGTTCAGTAGTCACTGAGTTTTTATGTAAAGCTAGAAATTGATTGTATTGATTGATTTTAGTTCATATATTCCTATATATTCATTCATATGTGTATGTTTATATGTACATATAAATATTATACAAATATACGTATATTTGAAGTTGCTAATGTAATAGAAAAACTTAGTAGCATGAGAGCAATATAATTCAATGAGAGCACTTGCACCTGAAATCTGTTTTACCAAATAACTTTGTGACCTTAAGCAAGGATTGGACCTATGTCTCAGTTTCCTTGCCTATTAAAAAGGATAGTAATAATTGCACCTAGCTGACAGTGTTGGTATGAGGGCTAAATAAGATAATCCATGTAAATCGTTACAATGTTCAGGTCTCATAAGTACTTAATTACAAGTTGTCTAGCTTTATAACTATATGCCTTTCACATTATCTTACATGTGATCTTATTTATTTATAGACATAGGTTTTATAAAACATAAAAATTTGTATGTTTATATGTGTTATGTGTGTAAAAATATGTGCGTGTGTGTGTATATAAAGGTTTAGAGCCATTATGTTCATCTCTCCTTTATTACTTCTGTTTAATATTATGGAGAACTAATATTTCCTTGAGACCATATTCTCTGTTCACTTAAGTGACCACATTTTAGTTCTGAAGCTAGTACTTTGCAAGCCCTCTTATTATTTACACAGAAATGCCATGGGGGCAGCCAATATGTCCAGAGCTCTTCCTTGATGACCACATATAGGCATATGTCTCAGTGACTTCATATTCTTTTTCCAGGGAATCTAAAATGGTTCCAAATAGATTTGATTAATTGATTTTTAGAAATGTATTGGAGGCCTGAAGGCAGTAATTTATTGCATATTTTCTGAGACCCTAAAGTATTATCTTTAAATGGTTTATTTATAGACATGCAAAAATTGATTTTATACTCTAAAACCAATGACAGTATTTTCCTTAATTTACTAAATCTTTAGTGAGATGAAGTTACTTCTCCCAATATTTTATTATGAAAGATGAAAGAATTTTGCGGTAAATACCTATATGCCTAACATCTATATTCTACGTTAACATTTTACTCTGCTTACTTTATCACATATGTATTCATCTGTCCACTCCTTTATCTAGGTGTTCATTTTTTTTTAGGGGGGGAGGAAGAGGGTATACCCTTTAAAGAAGTTCTTTATACATGCTGGATACCAGTCTTTTGTCAGAAATTTGTGTTTTGTGAATATTCTAGTCACTATTTGTCTTTTCAGTTTCTTAACAGTGCCCTTGCATGAACAGAAATTTTAAAATTTTATGAAGTCTAGTTTCTATCCTATTGAAGTTACCTTCTATCCTATTGAAGTTAGAAGAAATAGATCCTAGATGTCCATTAAAACAATCACAATAATTCTGTTACAATTATTGAATGCTTGAGTCTTTTCATTTTTGTTATCCAAACTCATTTTACCACTCAACCAAGGCTTAGTACAAGAATAAAGGAGTGTTCTACGTAGATTTTTTTTCCAACTACAAGCAAGATTAAATATTCTACATGTTTATATTCCCATATTTTGTTTTGCATATCATGAACATGCTGACTGTATAGGTGAATAATTGATAGTCAAAATTATATAATTTTCCTATTGTTTAGGTATAGCTCTTCCAGGAAACCTTAAATATAAACAAATCTTGACAGTTGTCTGTTTTGCTTTTAGTTAGAACTGCTAAATCTGTGATATATGATATATGCTAAGCAAATCACTGTTTTCTTAAAGCGTCCAAGAGAAGGTAATTATCTCATGTTAAATAATTCATTATAAGTAGTTTTTATACTTCATTAAGAAGATGTTCTTTACATTCTGCTCTCCAGTTACTTTAAAGAGTTGCATATTTGTGCAAAATCTGTCCCTTTTAAATTGTGTTGAAGATATTGAACAGGATAATTGCAATTTCTTCTAGCTCTAAAATACTTGATTCTGTTGCAGTCTTCATTACTAGGCACAGCTTTTATAGTACAATGTTTTGTTAATATAATTATGGTAAATATAAATATATAGTAGGAAATAAATACATATTTTTATCTCTTTTTTTTTCAATCTCTTAAACAGAAAGATGTGTTTCAGTTAAAAGACATGGAGAAGATTGCTCCCAAAGAGAAAGGCATCAGTGAGTATCAAAGATGTGCTGAGATATTTTGGGAAACATTGGTCATCTTTGCTGCAGCAGTCTTTCACTTTATGAAAACATAAAGTTCTAGAGATGAAGAATATTTGTAAAAGACCTTACATGGTATCTTTGGGCCATGGCCATGATTCTTATGTGTAGAATATCTGCTTTAGGAAAATTAAAATGGAGTATACATGCATACCTGTATATATACACACACATCGATACACAAATATACACCTTTATTTATTTATAGGTGTAATTTACTTCAAAAGAAGCAAAAACCGTTGTTGTGTGTTCTGGTATTTGTTAAATATGACTTTGTATTTTTACATGGTATATTAGTTTTCTATATTATTGTAACAAATTGCCACAAATCTGGTGGCTTAACACAATAGAACTTATTTTTTCGTAGTTCTGGAGGCCAGAAGTCTAAAATCAAGGTGTTGGTAGGGTTGGTTCTTTCCAGAGATTCTGAAGGAGACTCTATTTCATACTTCTCTCCTAGCTTCTGGTTGTTGCCACCAGTGCTTGGCTTAATAGTCAAATCATTCCAATCTCTTCCTCTGTTTTCACATAGACTCCGCCTTTGTTTTTTCCCATTTTGTCTCTTATAAGGATACATGTCATTGGATTTGGGACCTACCCTAAATCTCAGATGATTTCATTTATGATCCTTAATGGTGTCCTTTTACCAAATAAGGTCACATTCACAGATTTTTGGGGGTTATCTTTTGAGGGCTCAGTGTTAAACCCACTACATGTGGTATATATATTTTTAAACTTTATTTTCATTGTATAACCTATACATGTTTATTTTGACATATTTGAAAATTATAAAGTATATAGTCAAAGTAGAAATTGTTCGTAGGCCCTCTATTCTGGGATCACCAATGGTTAACATTTGGTGTATTTTGATGGTTTTTTCTTAGGTTCTGTCTATGTATGTATGTATCTGTCCTTTTTTTTTTTTAAGAGGAACCATACTGCATATATAGTTTTGAGTTTGTGTATTTTTTCATATAACATTATATCATCTACATTTCCCTATGTCGTTTGCTTTTTTAAAAAAATGACTTACAGTATCCGCATCCCCTAATGATTCATTCTGTACCATAATTAGCTTAGCCTGTTACCTGTTGTTAAACGTCTAGGTTGTTCCCAAATTTTGCTGTTAAAATTAATGTGTATTGTGCTATCTACAAATTCTTTTTCTAAGAAACTAATTTTTTAGAGCAGTTTTAGATTCACAGAAAAATTGAGAGGAAGGTACAGAGATGTCCTGAATGTTTCCCGCTCCCCACACATGCACAGCTTCTCCTGTTGTCAACATCACTCCCCAGTGGTACATTTGTTACAGTTGACACATCGTAATCACCCAAAGTCCATGGTTTGCATTGGGATTCATCCTTGATGTCATACATTCTGTGAGTTTGGATAAGTGTATAATGACACGGATCCATCATTACAGTATCATGCAGAGTATTTTTACTGCCCTAAAAAACCCCTGTGCTCCCATCTATTCATCCCTTTCTCTCACGCATAAATTTTTTTCCACATCTCCTACTACTTCATTAGAAAATGTTCCTAGAAGTAGAATAGAAAACAGAAACTTGTGGTGCCTGGGTGGCTCAGTTGGTTAAGCATATGACTCTTGACTTCAGCTCAGGTCTTGATCTCATGGTCCTGAGTTCCAGCCCCACAGTGGGCTCCAAGCTGGGTGTGGAGCCTACTCAAAAAGAAAGAGAGAGAGAAAGAGAGAGAGAGAGAGAGAGAGAGAGAGGGAGAGAGGGAGGGAGGGAGGGAGGGAGGAAGGAAGGAAAGACTTGTGTAGTTTTAAGCATTTTCTTTTTAAAGATTTTATTTATTTGAGAGACGGCAAGAGTGGGAGAGTGAACACAGGCAGAGGGGGAGGGAGAAGCAGACTCCCTGCTGAGCCAGGGAACCTGATGTGGGGCTTGATCCCAGGACCCCGAGATCATGACCTGAGCTGAAGGAAGATGCTTAACTGTGTGAGCCACCCAGACATCCCGTTTTAGGCATTTAATATGTACTCTCAAAGTGCCTTCAGGAAAGGCTATACCAAATTATATTCACATTCATTTCTCAGAACTGTATTTTCATCTTTTGAATCCTTGACATTTCATTTCACTTTGTACTTCTTTACAAGTAAGGTTGAATGGTTTGCACATTTGGTGTTGATTTTTTAAAATTTATTAAATCTTTAGTTTTCTAATAATTTTATTATATTTGGGGATCTACTATAGGAAAAATTAAAGTGGACATTAAAATGTGGATAATTTCTTGATACCGTTTTACTTAATAGAAAGTAAGAATTGTTCATTAATTTCAAACATTTATGAAATATGACTACATTCTTACATGCTATTTTTTAAAGCTGCTTATTTTTTATCTTACTGCTAACCATAACATTCAGTTCACAAGTTGTTTTTTTCTTTTTTAGTTTTCTTTTTTTTTTTAAATATTTATTTATTATTTATGCTAGACCTAGAAAGAAAGAGAGGCAGAGACACAGGAGGAGGGAGAAGCAGGCTCTATGCCAGGAGCCTGACGCGGGACTCGATCCCAGAACTCCAGGATCACGCCCTGGGCCAAAGGCAGGTGCTAAACCACTGAGCCACCCAGGGATCCCCATCTTTTTTAGTTTTCTTAGCAAAAAAGGCAATACACATTCATTGTTGGAAAAAAAAAATAAGAAAAGTGAACAAAAGGAAATAAAAGTTGGTTCTTACCTACCATTCAAAGATAACCACTGTCACATTTAGTGCCTATATTGTCTTTTACCTTTTTTTAAATAATTCTGTATAATAGATTTTGAATGCATATATATCCATGCTATTAAATACTTTATAACAAATTTAATGATTGGGGATCCCTGGGTGGCTCAGCGGTTTGGCGCCTACCTTTGGCCCAGGGCGCGATCCTGGAGTACCGGATCGAGTCCCGCGTCGGGCTCCCGGCATGGAGCCTGCTTCTCCCTCTGCCTGTGTCTCTGCCTCTCTCTCTCTCTCTCTCTCTCTCTCTCTCTCTCTCTGTCTATTATGAATGAGTAAATAAAATCTTTTGAAGAAAAATTAATGATTACATGGAATCCCATCACAATAAAATACTTCTAAAAGTCTGGTTATTGGGATCCCTGGGTGGCGCAGCGGTTTAGCGCCTGCCTTTGGCCCAGGGCGCGATCCTGGAGACCCGGGATCGAATCCCACATCGGGCTCCCGGTGCATGGAGCCTGCTTCTCCCTCTGCCTATGTCTCTGCCTCTCTCTCTCTCTGTGTGTGTGTGCCTGTGTCTCTGCCTCTCTCTCTCTCTCTCCGTGACTATCATAAATAAATAAAAATTTAGAAAAATAAAATAAAAGTCTGGTTATTGGACCAATTTATGATTTTTTGCTGTTGAAAACAGTGCTTTGACAAGTATCCCTATGCATGCCCATCATTATTTTTTTTGGCTGAATTTTATAACAATGGAATGTCTATATAAAAGTCATGTACACATCTAAGGTTTTAGATACATATTGCCAGATTTTCTTCCCATGTTGAGAGTACTCATTACCCTGAATGTTTTATTACATTTCTTAGTATTTCTAATTTGGTAGTCAAGACATCATATCTCATTCCTTTATTTTGCATTTCTTCAATTAATTAGTAGGGCCGAACATTTTTATTAACTGTGTATTTTTGTAGATGTCCATTGATATACTTTTGTTTTTCTATTCACGTATTTATCTTATTTTGTTATTTTTAAAAACCTCTTATTTGTTTATGAATTAACCTTTGATCTGTAATATTTGTTGCAAGTATTATCTTCAGTTTTTAGCGTTTTTTTTTTTTAGCGTTTTAATTACACTTCTGTTGCGACTTAATTTAGAGTCTTTAAAAATGATCTCTTTTAGCCGCTATGTCAGTGAAAGAAGTCCTTCAGAGCTTAGTTGATGATGGTATGGTTGACTGTGAAAAGATTGGAACGTCTAATTATTACTGGGCTTTTCCAAGTAAAGCTCTTCATTCGAGGAAACGCAAGTTGGAGGTTCTGGAATCTCAGGTAAGCCATCACAGTTAAAATCTACAGATTTGCTTTGTAAGCAAGAAATTTGAAGTTAGTGGTTTCCATTAAATTTTTAACATGCATTATTTGACTCAAAGTCTAAAGATGATCAACATTTCTTTCTCCTAAACAATACAAGGTTCTTAGAATGTTTTAACTTTAATCTTCCCTCATGCCATGATATTATTTTATAGTATTTTATGTTCTTTCTAGAGTTACAGCAAGATGGATGGGAAGGCACAGAGAGATTGCAAATACAATTGACCCTTTAAAAACAGGAGTTTGAATTGCATGAGTCCACTTATACGTGGGTTTTTTTCAATACATATAATACTGTAAATGTTTCTTCTTCTTCTTAATGATTATCTTAACATTTTTTTCCCTAGCTTGCTTTATTTTGAGAATATAGTACATAATACATTTATTATACAAAATATGTGTTAAACTAGCTGTTTATATTATTGATAGGGCTTCTGGGCAACAGTGGGCTATTAGCAATTAAGTTTGGGGAGAGTCAAAAGTTGTATGTAGATTTTGGACTGCATGAGGTTTGCCCCTAACTTCTGCATTGTTCAGTGGTCAACTGTGTAGTTCTCCCCCACTATCCAAAGTGGAGCTTTCCTATGAAAACTTTTGTAACTAAAATGGCATAAAGTGAAAATGCAATTACCATTAATCTATATGGAAAGAATTTCTGAATGTTCCTGAACCCCAAATGTAACCTGTCTTAGACTTCTCTGATGCCCATAGGATACATCTTGCTAATGGACCCACAAAATAAAGATAAAGCACAGATGCTCATAGACACAGTTTAAAACTGTGGAGTCTCATGCTAAGATTCTGAGTGTTGTTCCCAGGGAAGGAACTTGGTGGGGCCACTTTCACTGCTCTGGGTGCACGCTACCTCTGTTATGGCTTGCTGCAAAATGAATGCCAAAACATTATTTTTGCTTTTTACCTTTTTTGGTATAAGCAAAAATACTCTTCAGATTTCTTTTAGTTAGCAAAAATAGGTACTAATGTAGGTCTTTCATAGAAGCAAAATGGTATAATATGAACTTTTGAAAAGGGGGGATACCTATACCACCCTCCTACACCTCCCCACCTACACACAGTTTCTGCTGTGATTTACATTTTGTATTTAGCATGGTACATTTGTTACATTCAATGAGTCAATATTGATACCTTGTTATTAAGTAAGGTCCATAATTTACATTAGAGTTCACATTTTGTATTTTATGTTGTGTGAATTTGGACAAATGCATAAATGTCATGTATCCACAATTACAGAGTCATACAGAATAGTTCACTGCCCTAAAAATCTTCTGTGCTCCAGTTATTTGTCCTTTCCTCTCCCCTAATCCCTAACATCCAGTGATTTTTTTTTAATATTTTATACTTTTGCCTTTTCTGGAATGTCATACTGTTGGAATTGTGTTCTATAGCCTTTTCAGATTGGATTCTTTCACTTAGTAATACACATTTAGGATTCTTCCGTGTCTTTTGGTGGCTTGGTAGCTCATTTCACTTTATTGGTGAATAATATTCCATTACATAGATGTGCCACAGTTTGTTTATTCAGCTATCAAAGAAAATTTTAGTTACTTCCAAGAACATGTATTTTGTCTGTACTACAAAATTCTACTGCATTTTAATTTAAATTTTTTATTCTTTTATACAACCGAGGGGGTGAATTATGTGGAATTTACAGTGTAGGCAAGAAGTGGAACTTCAGGAAAAAGGGCTTTGCACTTGTTTTGGGGTGAAGCAAGGAAGACCCCTGATTAGAAGAAGATAGAAGATAACAGGAATAGGAAAAGTTAATCAAGAATAGTAAAGGAGGGACCCCCGGATGGCTCAGTGGTTGAACATCTGCCTTTGGCTCAGGGTGTGATCCCATAGTCCTGGGATTGAGTCCAGCATTGGGCTCCCTGCATGGAGCCTGCTTCTTCCTCTGCCTGTCTCTCTCTCTCTTTCTGTCTCTCTCTCTCTCTCTCTCTCTAGGTCTCATGAATAAATAAAATCTTAAAAAAAAAAAGTAAAGGAGATGAGTTTTTTTCCTGTTTGGTGATACTATGGGATTACATTTCTTCACAGGAAAATCCTGAAGCACCACTTTTGAAAATGTTGCTTCTGGGTTTAAGAAGGTCAAAATTTGTAGGCAGCCCTCAGTCTATGTTTTTAATTATAAGCAACACAAACTAACTCTGGTTAACAGCAGAAAAGGAATTTATTGAAAGATACAAGATGGACTTGCAGCATCACTAAGAAGGTTAGAAACCCAGTTCTAAAAGTAGACAGGAACTGAGGGAAGGTGCACAGCCAGACCACAGCCAAAGTCACACCATGAAACCTGTGTGATGAGGATTGTTCAGCCCCAGTGCCATGAACACTGCACCTAGCTCTGCTGACATCGGTGACCTCCGAAGATGGTTCCACTGGTACTCCTGACCCTGGCTAAAGAAGCAGATGTTGCTGCTACCCACCTTCCCTCCCTGCCCCCTGCCAAAACAAAACAAAACAAAACAACCCACCCCAAAATAAAGAACTTCTGTCCCAGCTGCTAGTCACAGTTTTGGGAAGTACATGTGATTGGCCAAGCCTGGGTTATATGCCCACACTCTAGTTGCCAGAGGGACTGGGGAAATAAATAATTGGGGTTTCTATGTTGGGAGTTAGGTCCCTCCTGTTGGCACCAGCAATTCTCCGAAATAGGAAGGGGGTTTGAATGCTGAGTAACACTCTCTCTCCTACCAGGATAGATACTTACAAAATAAATTGAGAGAAAAAACTAGAAAAGAACACAGGACTTGGAGTGAGAATAATAACAACAAAACTATTGAATACCTGCTGTCTTCTGAGTGCCAGACACTATTCTAGGCACTTGGAATCTATTGGTGGGCAAAGAATGGAAGCAGGGAAACAGGTAGGTTAAGTTCTTGGAATAATCCAGCTGTGAAGTAATGGTGATTTGGACCTAGGTGGTAGCAGCTCACCTACACTTCCTTAGCTATAGGTAGCCAGTAAGTTACTTAATTTTTTTCTCTTTTCTTTTTTCTCTTTTTTTTCTTTTCTTTTTCTTTTTTTCTTTTCTTTCTTTTCTCTTCTTCCTTCCTTCCTTCCTTCCCTCCTTTCCTTCTCTTTCTTCAAAGATTTTACTTATTTATTCATGAGAGACACAGAGAGAGGCAGAGACACAGGCAGAGGGAGAAGCAGGCTCCCTGGAGGGAGCCTGATGTGGGGCTTGATCCCAGGACCCTGGAATCACAACCTGAGCCAAAGGCAGATGCTCAACCATTGAGTTACCCAGGCACCCCCATTTTAAGATTTTATTTATTTTACAGAGAGAGAGTACATGTGAGCCGGGGGAGGGGCAGAGGGAGAGAGAGAATCTCAAGCAGACTCTGCCCTGAGCACAGAGCCCAACTTGGGGCTCGATCTCCAGACGCTGAGATGTGACTGAGCCTAAGTTAAGAGCTAGACACTCAACTGACTGAGCCATCCAAGTGCCCCCCAGTAAGCTACTTTCTGTTTCTTGTAAATTTCCTTGTTACGGAATTTAATATGAATGGAATCACATAATATGTATCTTTCATGACTGGCTTCTTTCATTTAGTATAATTCAGTGTGACATTCCTTTTTATGGCCAAATAATATTCCATTGTATGAATTTACCACATCTTATTTATCCATTCGTCAGTTGATGGCTATTTGGGTTGTTTCCACCTTTTGGCTATTATATGCAATGCTGCTATAAACTTCACGTACAAGTTTTTGCATGGATATATATGTTTTCATTTCTCTTGTGAATTACTGGGTCATATGATATTAATTATTTGAAGAACTTCTGGACTTCTTTCTAATTTGGCTGCACCATTTTACATTCTTACCAGCAGTATGTGAAGCTTCCAATTTCACCACATCCTCACTAAAACTTAATATTACCTGACTTTTTTGACTCTAGCCATCTTAGTGGTTGTAAAGTGGCATCTTATTATGGTTTTGTTTTCCATTTCCCTGATGACTAATGATGTTGCACATCACTACATGTATTTACTGGCCATTTGTGATCTTCCTTAGAGAAATGTCTATTCAGATCCTTTTGCCCCTTTTTTTATCTTTTAAACATGATGCTGCATTTTTTCCCTGCTAGGAAACAAATGCATATTCATCACTCAACAACTGTTTTTAAAAATTAATCATAAAATTAGAAACTTTATACAGGGTAATATACTTTTAGGCCTTATTGCATTTTCCTGTCTTCATGGCTTTTGTTCTTTTATACTCTTTGACCATTCCCTTGCCCTTCTTTTCTACCTAGCTGAATTCTAAACATCTCTCTTCTGAGAAGCCATCTCAACCTCCCAAAGCTTATGGTGTTTAGGCCTTCTGTAATATTTTTAGTTTTACCATAATATAATGTATTGCTTTGACACATACTGTTGGTTTTCTATGTAATGAGCATTGCCTTTTCTTCTTTACTAAACATTTTTTTTTTTACTAAACATTTTTTGAGACAACAGTGTATCTTACCAAAAAAATGCTCCTCTTCCATACGCCCTTGCAACTAAAGGAATGGAAAACTGTTCTGATGAGTGAGATGTAAGTAGAAGACTAGTTTTGAGGCTTGTAGGAAAATATTTACTTTCCTGGTAAAGGCAAAACCCCTTACCCTTCTTTTCCATCACATGGACATGAGATCATATTGTAATTCTACAATAACAAGCATTAGGATGAAGACCTATTCCTTAATGTCAGAGCTTGAATAAAAGGTTTGGATCTCTGATGGTATTTTGAGATGCTGCACTAGCCTTGGACTGCCTAACCTCTGGACTGTTTAATCCAGTTTTAGTTAAGTATTCTGTTATTGTAGCTGAATGTATTCTAAATGAATGAAATTGCTTTGAAAACTTCTTTTACATAAACGTGACTTAGATTTTTTTATTAATTGCCTATCATTTTGTAACAAACTGTGTACTCCAAAACTTTGGGCTCAG